AAAGTTCTACTCACCATTTTATTTATCCATGCAATTGAAAGTTTTAATCATGATTCGACTATTTTTCTACTATTTAAATAAAATGAATTTAAATATATTACTTTGCCAAGTAATATCCGTTTCTGAACTCTTACGTCTACTATCAAAATTACAAATTGTTGAATATTTCATATTACATAAATACACTTTGTATGATATAATGAAAAGGCGTATCTCGTTAAAAACAATGTTCTCGCATTTGAACATATCATTTGGACTTTTTCACAAAATAATTTGTTTAGTGCTTATTAGCGCTTATATATCATCGTAATCATTCAGACGATTTTGGGAGCGTATTTTGTAAGAACATTTTTAATATTTTGAATAATAAAAGTTGTTAATACTTGTATTTTAGTAGTTATTTGGTACTTATTATGCCCAGTAAACCTTATGCGATGTGCAGATTAATAAATTGACTATTACTTTTACACCTAAATTTTTAATCTGTAGGTGTATGCACGCAAATTTTAGTATTTGAAAAAATATAATATTTGTACTACAAAAGCTAACAATGGATTTCATAAAATTTAGCCTTGAATAAAATGTAGGTTAGTGTTTACTTACACTTATGTTTTACATGATGTTATCTTGTAAAATAGTTTAAAAATTTTAAAATATAGAAAAATTCTAATTTAATAACGCAAAATTTATTGGTGTGTCTGCAACTATTGTCACAATTATTTCTCTACAATCTAAATAGATTTTATTATTTTCGAAAACTGTAATTTAATATTATTTAAACATATATAAGCAAGTTCATCATAAAAAAGATATTTGTTCTTTTACTTAACTGCACCTAAATTGAAACAATCATAATACTGTTTGAAAAATCACAAACAAGTTTAAGATAAGAAAACGTTTGTTATCTTAATTGTTATTCAATGCTAATTAAAATAATTATTAAACAGTATACCTCACATATTACGTCATTTAGTCATTTTTAATTTTATTGACAATTTATGCGTAAGTAAAATAACAAAATTTAGTTCTTTTATATATCTTGCAAAGTCACAAGTGTAAATTTCTTAAGCATCATTTATAACTCTCTGCTAACAATAAATAAAGTCACTGTGTATATTATTAATAAATCAATCAAATGGAAAAGTTAAATTAGTTAATGGTTTTATTAGTGTAAATCTAAAACATATAGTATAATTTTTAAATTCAAATTTTTGTTTGTTTGTATATTATTTTCATTAATCAATTTTTTTAAAAATTGTATGTTATTCCAATTGCTTCATTTTGATAGGTGATTAATCTCCGAAGTAAGAAAAAATATATTTGCAACTTATACAAAATTTTGTTCAAGAATGTGGAAGAAGAGACGAATAAATTTATTTAAACAATTTTAGTTCTAAAATGTTGTTACAGGATTGGTTAAATGTATCAAACATTTAGTAATGTTAATTAAATAATTAACTTTCTAAAATAATAAATTGTTCGTGTTCTTACATAAAATATTCCTAAAACCTGTGTGACTAATTTCGGCTAGAAAATACTATCTTTCAACAAAGAACTTTATGAATATTATTCTAAGATATGCCTTAATATGTAAATCTTGAACTAAATACAGAGTTCATCTTTAAATGTATTTAAAATAATGTTTTTCAATATCGTAGTCTGAAACTTAAAAATTTATAACATCAACTTATTAATTATATCGCGAAAATATTTGTAGTAAGCAGGGCGGGGCACAAAGGTCCAATTTGAATTTGAGCAAATATATTGTGAAAACCAAGCCAATTATTTCACAATAAATAACACATATCAAATAAACAACTATCTGACTCCCAACTAATTCATAATTGTAGAAATGTGTATTTTCGTTGTTTTTCAAAAATTTGTCACTTGGTTCTTTTTACCCCGTAGACCGGGGTGAATATGAGACGTCCAGGGGGCAAACAGGTCTACATGTTGTTCATTTTTAAGTATAAAAAAATTTTACGAACCAATTTAAAACATAAATTCAATGGGTACATTTCTTACTGAGATAACACTGTATATAACCTTGATTTGGTATAGAGGAATTGGAAGAACTATTTATTATATTTATCTCTTGAAAAACTGCTTTTTTAACTGAATTTAGTTTTCTATTCACTATTCTTCATTGTTTACACCATTGCCAGGATAAGAGTTCAGTATGTGTTTTTTATCTCATTTAGTTTATTTATTCATTTTTCAAATATCTCCTTATAAAAATGAAAAATTATATTTTAGTACAAAAATATAAAGATAATTTTTACTAGAGAAGAACGTATTCGTAGTTCACAATAATATATTTCTAAAGATTTTTTATGACTAACTTGATACATCCATTATGCGTGTTCTTACTCAAATTTTGTTAACAAAGAAATTTTTGAATATTATTTTAAGAGGAGCCATAATATGTAAATTTTGTTCTAAGAACAGTTTATACTTTGTACTTCCATCTCGTTACGGTCTTAAACAAATAGCCTATATATAAGAAGCGCTGTCTATGTTTGGCATTTCTAAAATCACATCATAAATCTATTGAAGTCAGAACAAGGTGAATACTGTATGAACATGTACATATAGAAAATAAAAGTGATGATATTAGTTCACTAACATTCGACCAAAATGATTTTAAAAATTATACCACACCTAATACTAACTTTTACATTAGTCAATTGCTCTAAAGAAAATCGAAGTGATATATTTCTAAATTTCTATGGACCAGATACCAATGAATCCTGTTTTAAAAAGAGCGAAAGTGATTCGTGTTATGATAAAAATATAAAAAATGTTACAGTGTTAGATGCTAATTTAAGTAATGTGAAAAGTGAAGTTAATTTTTTACATCTGTGGAATAGTTTTCCCAAAATTTTAGTGCCTTCTAACAGTGATGATCCAGTATGCAGAAGGGATAGTGTTGAGTTTTTGAAAGGATTGAATAGGACTGAATTGTGGGCGTTAAAAAGTTTGTACATTATTATATATTATTTTTTTAAAGTCATATTACGTAATATTAAAACTTCATGTTTAACTTACATAACTTCATAAGATATTTTTGAGTAAAGCTTTATAATAAATGAATTAAGTACATATTTGACAGATGCTCCATGTATTTTTTAATATTAATAAGAAAAATTGATAAGTTCTGAGAAAATATTTTTTTTTGCGTAATTAGAGTATTTTTGTTCTGTTTGTTTTATAATTAATACGATTTTAAAACTGCTGAATAGTGAGACATATTTGATGTTGAATCGTACAAATTAATTTTTATAATTTATATTATTTTTTATTATTTATTATTTTATATTTACTTTACTCGCTTCTAATATCATAATGAATATTTTATCGTAGAACAAAAAAGTTATATGATCTAGATATATATTAATTGTTGCAGTAATATCACAAATAATAATTAACAATTACTATCGTGTTTTTAAAAATTTTCATATTAATGACTAACAAAAATGCCCTCTTTAATATATTTTAGAGCTATATTTTACCCATATCAGTTTAACCCATAATTTTTCATTAAGTAAATGATTATGTAAGACAAAAGATCTCTAATATCCAAAGTAAATATCTTAAGTAAACACATATTAAGTATGTTTAGAGAAATTGAACAGAAACAAATAGAAAATTACCAAACCTTGTTAGATAAGCAAGTATTTAATTAACTTTGTCTGAAAAAAATTGAACGGAGTACTTTTTTACCAGGATAAATTTAATATTTAAAAAACTAAAAAATTAAGAAAATTACAAAAAATCTATTGCAATAGCAAGTAATAAATAAAAGTAATTAAATGTCACCAATATCAATAAATACTAATGGTATTAAAATATCAAAATACTCCCCAAAAATAAGCCTTATGTTAGAAAATTCATGTATAATATTATAAGAATATTTACATTTATGTGTTAAACATGTTTTTGGATAATTAGATCAGATAAAAAGTTTAAAATCCTAAATATTTGATATACTTGAATAATAATAGTCGCTTTCAAATACCATTGAAAATGTTTTTTCCATAAAGATAAGATAAAATTTTCCATAAAGCATGGAATTATTGTGCATGTTTATTTTAAATTCTTATTAAAATTTATCACTAATACTCAGTAAAATTGCATTCATTATTTCAAATGCATAATATGATAAAGAAACGTTTTGTGGATAAACAGTGTATTTATTTTAAATTTTCCCAAATATTCATTCAAAATTTACGTTTCTACTTTTAAATATTAAATTCAAATTTTTTATACTTGCATAAGAGCTATTTAAGATTAAAAACAAGTGTTAATTGAAGGATATAATAAATATCATAAAAATATCATATAATTTAAATATTTTTATTCATTGTGCCAATAAATCCCAAAAGATATTAAATTAAAAAGTATTATGAAATTTTGCTAATTAATATATAATTTAAAGATAGTTTTTCACAAGTTTCATAAAAAAGTTCAAAGTTGAAAGAAATTTTGCAAATTGATATTCAAATATTTATTTCCAAATTATAAATATTTTCTTACAACTAGAGAAGAAAAGCTATTTCAATAGATTGTATCATATATTTTGGAGAAATGGGATTTAAAATATTTTGTTAAAGTAGAGTACTCGGGTTATTTATTATTATATTTTTTAATGCTGATTCAATTAGCATTATAATTTTTATTATATTACGAAATGAATTAGATTAACGTCTTGTCATAACAATATAATTTTTCACGTTAGACATTTACACATTATTCAATTAGATGTTTCCTAAAAGAATCAATTACTTTTCATAGCCACTATTTCCAACAAAGAAAACATATGAAAAAACGATTTTTGTATTTATATTATTGAATTCTAGTGTTCGATTCATCTGCTAAATTGCCTTCTGGAATTTTAAGAGGAAATATCAAACAATTCGGAGATTTCGACCAATGTATAGGAATAGCATCAACAATAAGAAAAGATGAATCATTTATTAGAGGAAAATATTGCTTAGCAGAGTTGGATGTACGATTTAATAAGCAATTGTACCCAGAGTTGGACTGGCTAATCCATGCCAAAAATTTTATGATCAGTGATATGGATGATGTAAGTTAAATAAATAGTATAACTGTTTTTGATATAATTTTTTTAATTTGATCTTCTACTAACACCAGAAGCAATCATAACTATCATTAGCCATGAGTGATATATTTGTTCAACCTCTTATTAGTAGAAGACAACCCAGTGATTGTCCATTCTTTTTGTAGTGAGGATATTTCTATAAGCAAGACTATTTTTAAATCTTAAAATCGTGTTTAGAATTATATTTTCAAGTAAAAATATAATTCTAATATATCTATACCAATGCCTGGTATAAATTATGTAATTTAGTTGTTGTTGTCAATTGAAATAATAAATCAAAATTTTATTATAGTCACCTATGATTTTTCCACGGTTTACGACAATAGACTGGGCAGTGTGCATGCCATCATCTTGTTCTGCCAAAGATTTAGAAAATGAACTGAAGAAAGTTTTCAAAGGATTTGCTACCAATATTAGAGTCCAAGAACAACAGTGTTCTACAGAAATCCAACCAAATCAGGGAGAAATGACACCTGGAAGAATATTTGCATAGTGAGAAAAAATAATATAGAAGATATATCATAATATTGGCCCGATTCTACCACACAACTGTCCAATGTTATGGCAAGGCTATGTTATGCTCCAACTTGTATATATTATGCTACTGATATTTGTCAGAGTTTCATGTATTCGCTGTGCATTCAGGCATTTTACACATAAAGTGCACCATCACTTATATGTTATGAAGCTGGGTCAGAAAAACCATGTTATCTAAGATTTGTGTTTTTGACATTTGTGCCGTTTCTAGGTTAGGTTTTTAATCTGACAACCTAAGAAAAATGCCTGACTGCACAGAAACTACATGACTTTTGTTAATATATTGAACAAATTAGTAAAAAAAGTTTTTCATAACATAGCCTTGCCATAACATTGGTCTGTTATGCGTCAGAATCGATCTAATAAATTATATAGCTTATTACTAAATTATGTTATTTGTTGCAGTTGCTTTTTTGGCAGTATAATATTGATGACAATTTTGAGTACTTTGATTGATGGTGACTATTTGGAGGAAGAAGAACACAGCACTTTCAAAAGTAACTATTTGATAATGCTAAAAATACATTATAATAATATTTTAGCAACTTTAAAATAATACACCGTTTTTTATAATCTTTCATTAATATTTGTTTTAAAAATTATAATATCGTCTTTTCAAGATAGTCATACTAAATAGTGTACAATAACTAACAATTTTCATTATTTTTTTTTTCGACGTATTGGAAATATATGAATTATTTTTTCTAGGACTACTATTAGCATTTTCACTGCAAAGAAATATAAACAAAGTATTCAAACCCACTGAATCCAAAAATGCAGTAAAAGCTGTCAATGGTTTAAGATGTTTCAACACCATTTGTCTCATATTCATCCACAAAGCAATAGCTCTTTTGCATCAACCTTACTCAAATCGAACAGGAATGGCAGAGGTAAGTAATTTTAATAATTTTACCTTAAGAACACAATTTATTACAATCATTTTTATTATATAAAAGTCGTTAGGAAGACCATGGACCGTTATTGGAAGAACAGGGATGTACCATACTGATTCCTTTTTGTTGATCAGTGGTTTACTAAATGCTCATGCTCTCACAGGAGATTTGATCAACAAGGGAAAAATTCCTATAGCCAACAGAGTTATATCAAGATTATTTAGGTAAGATATGAAATAAATATTAATAATTAAATTTGTTCATCAGTAAAATTATTTTTTTTAGGATTATTCCAAATTTACTTGCCATTATGCTGTTTTGTACGTATATAATGCCAGATTTGGATTCTGGACCACAGTGGAATTTGTTGATCAGACAGCATGCTGAACTTTGCAAAGATAATATGTGGAAAAACTTACTTTTCATACAAAATTATATGGGATTCAATAATATAGTAAGTTTTATTAACTTATCGCAATTTGCAATAATTTTGTTATTTTTACTCTTGAATTTTGCTACTGATACAGGGTGCGCCATTTATATGTGGTCAATGGTAATGTTGAATAACTTGAACAATTTTCAATGAATTTTGGTAAACTTATTTTTATTATCAAATTTAAAGTCTTTCAATTTTTCCTAGTCAAAATTAATTGAAAGTTGTTCAAGTTATTCAACATTTCCATTGACCACATATAAATGGTGCACCCCGTATAAAGATCACTACACCATTCTCTATATTTATTTAATATAAGATTACTAAAATCAATCACTATATTTATTTAAATTGCACTTTAAGTCAAAAATGACTTGTAATGTTAACCAAATCTGTGAAAATTATTTCCGACGACTGCACATTTTGCTACAAAATGCTCTAATTCATGACAAAAACCTACACATATGTCTAGAAAACTATTAATTTTAGGAAACAACTTATATTGCAAATGAAGAATATTTAACTAATTTCTTCATTAGTTGATTTTTTTAATAATTTTACTTCAACATTTTTAATTAAGACAAGAAAGCGCCTGACTGTAACGTTCTACATCTGAGCTTTTATGTTCACATATTAGTTGTGAGAAATATTTATGAAATCTTAAACAAACTCAATAATGCATAAAAATTAAAACTATATTTATGTTATTAAGAAATTTTTAATATATATTTTTTGAGAAACCATATTATTACCATAGATGAATAAAATATAATATTATATATCATTCATCATCAATGACCATCAGTTCCCTTATACCAGAAAAAAGTAAGATGGTAAGATGGTAATTGTCCTGGTATTTGTATAATTATTTATTTTATAATAATTTTTATCATCACACGTATATGTAATTTATCAATTATCATCATAATATTTGCATTTTACCAATTGGTATCTCCAGTTATCATCAATTCAATACTTCCGATTTTAGTGTCTGGCCCATACTCATCAGCTAGGTACAGATATGCAATTATTTTTGGCAACACCTCCATTGATATGGGCAGTATGGAAATGGCCAAAAAAGGCGCTTTTGATAACATGTATAATCGCAATTTTATCTACTGTTTTACGCTATGTGGTGACATTGCAAAATCGTTTGGCACCTATGACCTACTTTGGTATGCCGTAAGTATAAAAATTAATAGATAATTAGATAATATAATAATTAGTACGTGATAATTTATTCAACTAATGCATATTAATAATCTATGTCAAGAAATCAATTTAATAAAAATGTATATGCCAACGATCTATCATGCCAATGACCTTATTCTCTTAACATAGTAGAAATTATCCCATATTCAATTTATCTAAATCATTTTGTCGTTGTTTGTGCTTTCACAAGCATTAAATGCAGCCAATCAAATATTGCGGTTTTATATAAAATGTGATTCCATTATCATTTAATTTCCAGGAATTCAAAGTTCTCTGAGACCTCAGATTTATCATATACACTGCCTGATCATCGTGCAACCCCATATCTGGCTGGAGTTGTCCTTGGATACCTAATCAGGCGTGGATACAATCGACTCAACATCACAAAGGTTAATAATATGATTTGAAGTGACATATATGCTAAGAAATTTGCATGCTTATCTTGTACATCCATGCTCATATCATATGAATATTTGAAACACATTCGGATTTATCATAACCAAAGCTAATTCTTTAAAATATGTCTCACAAGGAGTACCTTTTCTTTGTTCATCTGGGATTTTGATGTAACTTAGCATGATGGTAGATTTCGTGCTCAAACTGACCACAGTGAAATATATATATAAGTCTATGAAAAGCGGTTTTATTATAAAATTTTTTTTTTCAGAATTTAAAAAAAAATCTTTATTACGTTGCTGATTGCAATTCAATGCACATTTTTAGCACTTAGCATAAATTACGTAAATTATTCACATGTCGAATAAAAGAACTTTCAAACTCACGTCAGAAAAAGATTTTTATCATAAATTGTACAGAGACATTATGCGTTCCGAGGTGATACTTAGCAATCATATGTGAATACTTGTTTGCAATGAAATCGAGCCGTGAGATGCAGAAAGAATAATGCATTTTAAATTGAGTAACTCTAAATGTTATCTTAATGCTAACATAAAAAGATATTAAGGCAATTAATATTCTAAAGATAAGTCAACCCCAGATTCAATAAAAACTATTTCAATTACCTTTATTTTTTTAGACTCAAATTAAATATTGCTGGTTCATAGCAGTGGTGGTAATGTTGATACCGATGATAGGGCCTTATCAAATAGCAGATCAACACTACGCCTATTCGGCCCAAGATGCAGCCCTGTACAGCGCTTTTGCTCCACTGACTTTCGGGGCTTTTATTGCCTGGACAATTTCAGCAACAAACTGTGGAAGAGCAGGTAATTAATAAAATACAGTAATTGATAATTTATTATTTGCCTTAAAATTATTTAATGCATTTTGATTTTAGATAAATTGTTAATGCTCAATGCAAAAGTTCAGTGTGTTATACATAGAAGCATCTCACCGTTTTATTCATAGAAGCATCTCACTCTAGTAATATTTTGGCCATAAAACCAGTTATATAGCTATCATCAATATGAAGCTAAAAATTTTTGCAAATTTATTGAGAAATTTTATTTACAAGTTTTCTGTCTAAATTGCATCAATTAAATCTGCAGGGTTTTGGGAATTTTTATAAGAACAAATCTGTGTTAATTTATTTAAATTTTTACCTTAATAATATTTGATAATGAATATATCCTGAGAAATCATATCAATTAATTTATATAAAATAAAAAAACTGGTATAAAAAGTCGAAAGTTTTATAAGGCATCTTAATTCCATGACGTCAATTGCAATTTGGCTTCGTTCTTATCGATGAATAATTTTGGAAATTTATTTCATCATTATTATTGATTTCATTGCAGGTATAAATATTTACATTTGTTTGATTTTTAATGCAAAATTGTTATAAAATTAAGCTGACCAATATGTCTACCAAATATTTTACAACGCTCATATTCTAAATGCTAAAAATGTAATTTATGTTTATTTATGTTAATTTACAATTTTTTAGGTTGGTTTGGAAGATTTTTGGATTGGAGGGGATTTAAAATATTAACAAATTTATCCTATGGCATTTATCTCACACAATTCCCAGTATTTTTCTATAATATTGGTCGAATCCGAACTCCAGAACATTTCACTGTGGGAGCCCTAGTAAGTGTACATTATCATATAGGTTTGAAAATATATATATTTTTATTTCGATTTAAAAATATTATGAGCGTTTAGTTATTTTATTTATTTAATTATTATTTTTTTTCTAGATAAATATCACAGAGTTATTAGGAATTGTAGCAGCATCAACGATAATGGCTGTTTTAGTAGAATATCCATTCTTAGAAATTAGGAAAATATTATTCGAAAACGTTACAAGAAGAAAACCAAATCATACTTTAGTAAATAATAATTCAGTAATAAGTGAAACTCCATTAGTTAGTGATAGTAAAAATTTTACAAAAAATATTGTGATGAATAAAACTGATTAGTATTTTGTTCTGTGATTCAGATCTATATCTGAAAATGTAAGCAATAATTTATATTTTTTTAAAAATGAATAAAACAAATATGTAATTGTAATAGTAACCAATATAATATAAATAATGATAGATTAAAATATACTGTACAAAATTAAAACACTAACTTTACTCATTTATCATGCATCGCCTAGAATTTTCTTGAATATTTTTCATATCGCAATTATTTAAAATAAGGAGCAAATAAGGTACAAGTAGAATATTGATCGATTTAAAACAATTTGTTTTCCGTTACTTTTTTTACAAAAATGCACGAAAAATAGTTTGAATTTGGAATATTTTAAAAGGTGTATTATTTTATATTGCAATCATTACGAAAACAATTAATTTTATACAGATTTAAAAAAATTATTTTAACAAAAATAAATATAAATTACTTTTAAATTATAATAACTAATAATATTATAATTACACTAAAATTCCTGCTATTTTCAACGCCATTATTTTGTCTTGGCTTGCAATTCTTGTGCAATACAATATTTTTTACGTGTTTACAACAAAAAATGTTATTGCAACGTTATGCAACTTTTTTGTTATAAAACTTATATGATCAATAAATAATGTTTCTTTTGTATTATGCACAAATGCTTGCATATTATGCACTAAACCTGTTCTTACAGGTAAAGACATAAATAAAGCATTTACTGGTAATCAATCATAATATCGAAGTAGTAAGTTTACATTCAGAATAAATCAATAGATTTGAAAAGTAAATTGAAATTTTGATTAATGCATTTGTATTTCCCTACTAAGAAGTATAGAACCCTTCAATTATTATAATCAATTAATATATAAATAATAATATATAAATAATATATAAATCACATAAAAACAAGCATTTGATAAACTTTCATCATATTGAATTTAACGAGATATAAATGGCATTCTGCCTCTAGGCAAGTTTACAACTGATTTATTAGGATGAATAAACTTTTTCAACAAAAGTTGAATATTATTTTCACGAACTTTGTAATACTAAAAAAGCACTACAATTATGATGTCTCTATATAGGGTTAGGTTTCATCTCAAATAAAATGCAGGAAATTATTTAAAATGCGTATATATATATTTTATATTCCGATGATAAATACAAATTCATAAATGCATATATTTCACATATATCAATTAATTTCCATTTCAGGAACTCCAAATTCTCCGAAACATCAGATCTATCATATATGCTTTCCAGTCATAGATCTACGCCTTATCTCATGGAAGTTATCCTTGGTTTCTTCATAAAACGTGGATACACAATCAATATGACAAAGGTTAATGCGTATTTACTAAGAATTATGCAAAATTTTCATTGGCATATTAAGTGCAAATACGTTTAACACTCAATCTTGATGCAGATTGTTGTTTACTTAATGCACATTGAAAGAAATACCCACTTAATGTAAGATGTAAAGGATCGACAAATTTACTTTAGCAAATCGTAAGTTTTCTGGAGATTTTGACTCATTGAAATTGGTCTTTCATTAGCTTCCTTAGTTTAAAAAAATCCTAAGTATGAAGCTATTTGATTTGAGAAAATCCATCAATCATCTTACATATATTGTAAGTTCAAAGACAGACGAAGACGTTTGTTGTTTTTGTTTATTTTATGACTTCTTGTACACTTTACATATAACTTCAACAACTAAGAAACTGATCAGAATTTGATGAAAAGTAAATGAAACTTGATGAAAAACCATTTTATGAGCTCGCCTTCAATGTGACTTGGAAATGCTAGATAACAATATTTTACAAATTGTTCGAGCTTACAATGTTGTAGCATATGAGTAATTCACTGTAACTGCGTTGTTTGTATTCTGACCGTTACAATTATGATATTTATTTATAATTATTATGAATGGGTGCATACCCCTTACAATATCTGCGAGGTTTAAATTATAAAATTATGAAATTTTGAAACAAGCAAAAAATTGTAACATTTAAGTATTCATAAGAATTTTTTATAATTTTCCTAAAAGTTCAAAAATTTTAAAAGCGTTTATGGTACACTGATATGCAAGTTTGGATATAAACTAAGGACATAAAACCAAGTTTCAATAAAAACTAGCTGTAAGTGGAATTCTGTCTTGAGGCAATTATGGCATCGTGCCTTGAGGCAAATTGCTGGAACTTCCCGCACCGTAACGAAATGTTCGAGGAATATTGAATGTTTTCAAATATATTATTATAAATATTGTAACATTGTCTAATATTCATAAGAATTATATAAACCGAATTGCAGAGTTGAAATTATTTCTAAAGTATATTAGGACTATAGTCAGAATTAAAAATAAAATCTGAAATATTTTCGATATACAAAATACTAAAAAAAAAAAAAAAAAAAAAAAAAAAAAAAAAAAAAAAAAAAAAAAAAAAAAAAAAAAAAATCAATCAATATTTTGTTAAGACAAGCAGAAAGTTCTTTGAATCATTTAAATCGGACGCTTAGTTCTCTCAAAAACTGCCATTTTTTACATAATTAGCTCCGTATCTTCGAAATGGCTGGGCCTGCCTTTGCCAAAAACTGATAAACACTTCTCCCAATCATTACTAATTCAATGTTTTTTAGATCATTCAAATCGGATACTCCGTTCGCTCAAAAATTCGATTTCTATTTTCTGCACTCTTTGCTCCGTATCTCCGAAACGGCTGAACCTGCCTTTGCCAAAAACTAATCAGCTCTTTTCCCAATCAATAGGAATCGAATGTTTTTTGAACCATTCAAATCGGTTGATCCGTGCGCCCTAAAACGTGACTGGAAATTTGTATCCACACATACATACACACACACACACACACACACACACACACACACACATCCATTTTTTCTGAGGTATGCCAAAACGTTCAGAAACCTTCAAAACGTCGAGAAATGTAAAAATTTTCAATTCCGATTTTCGGCCCATTACAATAACTTACCCTACGGGAAGTTAATAAATGAAATTTCATATCAATATTATGCAAATGCAATTTCCGTGGTAAAAATGAAAATTTGTACATAGTACTTTTTTCATCGTACAATTGATGTGTGCGACTATACACGTATCAATTACAATTTTCTCATGCTATTTCAAAATAAGTTTGATTTGATTATTCCATGTGAAATTACAAATAGAGATAAAAGCCTATCTATTGAAAATTGTCAACCTGAATTACCAGTAACGGCTTATTACAATATATTAAAATATATTTATCATTTTGATTTATATAAATACAAAAACTTTGCTACACTCTCCGTTCTAAAACGCTGGAGGCCACATCAGAGCCGCGTTGTTTTCCGCTGTTGATAATAATAGAGTGTTCTAGTTTTCAAGTTTTTCATTTATTTATATATTACAGTGCATAATAAAGTTATATTATACGGAATAAAAATTGAAAAATAAGTAAAATACCATATAATGTTATGCAAAATTTTGTATTTGCGACGTAAATCCAAGCTTTTAGTCGCTAAACTATTGATATTAAAACTAACTACAAGAATATATAAGACAATAAATTATTTTATAAATATCTACAATAAAATTTTGTATAAATTATATCAAACGTTACTCAATATCCTGAAATATTGAGCTGCTAATTATTTAGAGGTAGCTCTACAGTTTTATTCTTATTGCAAACAAAATTTGTTCTCAATTTTTTTGAAATCTCCAAATTGCATATACTTATGATTGTCCAAATTGCATATACTCATGATGTACAACCTCGAATAGTAGAATTTCTTCAAATTAAAACAATCACAAATATTTTTTACCATATTTATTATAATTATATGTATCCTGCAGGGTCAAGTAAAATTATGCTGGATTTTAGCAGTTTTGATCATTATTATTCAAATGCTGGGTCCTTATAAAATTGCAAGTCCCAAGTATAAATATTCAGCATATGATGCTGCATTTTATAGTGCATTTTCGCCTATAGCAGTTGGTGTCTTTATTTCTTGGATAATTATAGCTTCTAATTGTGGTGAAACAGGTAATTTTTATAATATCATTTTCTTTGAAGTTCTACTTTTTACATTAATACTACTATGCAATTTCATGATTTAAAATTGCATCATAACGTCATATGTATTATTTTTATTTTTTTGGCACTATTCTTGATATCAGAAAATAAGTTGATGAATAAAATGTGATCAATTTAAAAGGCAAATTTAGTTGATAAAAAAAAGTTTTTGGAAATAAATGTGCAATTTTGATAATGAGTCAGTGCAAATATATTAATGAATCATTTGTAGTATTTCATGAATTTAACTTAATATTAATAAATCTTCAATTTCCAAATTGAATATATACGAAATATTTATTTAAGAAAGCAATGAATTCTCTTAGCTCTGCAATGTTTGCTTTTTATTATTGATTTTACTAATGATCTTCATCATATTAATGGATAAAATTTCATATCATCAGTTTGACTGATTGAATTGCATTTTATTTCGCAATATGAGTAAGTGATATCTACCCGACTTTGAATGACAATACTTAATTGCCTTCTAAACGAAAATCAATTTGATATATGGCTCGTAATTCTGTTAATTAGATTTTGTATTTCATAATAGCAATAATATTAGTGTTGAAATTCTAGACGAAGAAAAATGACAGGATTTTCAATTTAATATTTTAACGAAAGTTATACTATTATGTTGAAGATGCTGGATAAAAGAATAAAAAAAGTGATATGAAAAAAAAACTAATTGATTTTGAAATTATACGTATTTTGCACAATTAGATCCCAAGACCCTTTTGTCTGGTTTTTGGATCAAATTGTGCAAACACAATATTTATTTCTAATTATACATGAGAAATAGCATACGTATTTTGCACAATTAGATCCCAAGACCCTTTTGTCTGGTTTTTGAATCAAATTGTGCAAACACAATATTTATTTCTAATTATACATGAGAAATAGCACGAAAAGTCGTTTATAAAAAAAAATCACAATTCATGCTATTTTATACATGCTACATTTTACAATGCTATTTTATACATTTATCAAAATGCGCAAAGCAAAATAAAAATTTGATACTAATTTCCCCTTTCCAATCATTTCAATAGTTCAAAATGTAACTATTTTAAATTTTAATATTTTTATCATCCATTTCAGACTGGTTTGGTAAATTTCTGGATTGGCAAGGATTTTGCACATTTGCCAATATTTCTTATAGCATTTATCTAACCCAATTTCCAGTTTTTTTCTATGGCATAGGAATAATTCGCACACCACATTATTTTACTTTCGAATCCTTGGTAAGTAATAAACTTTATTACAATTATATTCCAATAATGATCTATGCGGGGGACATTGAACTTTAATTTATTATAAGGCGTTTAATAATAATTTAGTTTGAAAATAATTGCAATTAGTGCCTGTTTAGATATGGCCAACCTTTCTGAAATTGGTTTAATTCTAGTTCTAATACTAGATATAATAGTTGCTTATATTTTTGTTTTATAGTTTGTTGGACAATATAGAGTGCCATACACATATTTCCACATGTTTTTATCACCAACTAATTTTTACTTCTTCTACCAGTTTATTGCCTAATGAAATTACCGACATTACTGAGTAATTGTCCAAAAATTCTTATTACGTATAATAACGTCGTTTAAGTACATATAATTTAATGTAAAAGTGTTGTCCATACAGAACTGTGTAAGACAACATCTAAATAACATATGATTAGCGACAAATATCTGGTTAAATAGAAACATGAACGGGAAATTATTTCACGTACTAGCTAGTTCTATAATAGTAATCTAGTAAATAAAACTATCGTTAACAATTTTTTAACCAAGATCTCTAACACGTTTCTGATCAGCTGAACGGAAAACTTGTAAGGTGAATGGTTTACATGGAAAATGTGTTATAATAAAAGCAATGAATAATATAATTTTAAAATATTGCAATACGCCCGTGACATATTCTAATTCTTTACTCATATTAAAACTGATAATTTGTCATTTTATATTAAAAGTGTTGAACTGAAAATTAAAAGGTGAATGAGTATGAATCTTCTTACTACCTGGTCAAAATACTTGGCATTGAATTATAACAAATTATTAAGCAATAATCAGTTCAAATTAATAATGATAGCCTGTTTTTGTGATAAATGTTTCATCAAATTGCCAAAATTAATTACCGATCATAACAAATTGCAATGTACTAATAGTTTATGAAGTCTCATTTCTCTTCCTAGTAATTAGAGGAAAACGTTATTATTTATATATGATCATTTGATTATAAAATAACATAGTTAATTACAGACTTTAATTTACTTGAAAACTTGATGCAAATATATTAGGAGATGATGTGAATGCAATATATATTTTATGGTAGAAATATTTACGACATGAGTATTGCAAATTTTGATTCAAATAAATTTCTAATTAACATAAGATATCAATCCATATGTTGCAAATCTATATTTGCAATTATTAATTGATATGTAAAGAGAAGGAAAAGCTGCGTCTGATTATAGGTAGATCAAAAATGGCAAAATTAGTAAAAGTTATTAAGAAATATTTTTATTTATAACACTCACCTAAATAAAAATTGCCTTAATTTTAGAAGCACTATTATAGATACATTGTACTAAAAACGTCCTAAAATTTTCGAAATTGGTTGAAGGTATTTAAGAAAAACGTTGACGAAAAATTTTGCTTCTTTCTATTAAATCTAGAGAAAGACAAAACTGATTCCTGTAATTCTAAAGAAACCCTAGCCCTTGATCTTGAGTCGATTTCGAATAATGGACTTTTAAATTTATACAAATGGGAGCTTTATGAGAAAAGGGCGTTCATGAGAAATAGTCGACAAAAAGCCAATTTTGGCTCACATATGCATTTCTACAATACCAATTGTAAAATGATGACAACACGAAACGTTAAAAATGATCAAATTAGCAAATCAAATTTTCTGCAAAAACATGAATCTCTCCTTCAAGGAGTTGATCTTTTAAGTGGGTATTCTGGTCTCGAATTAAAAAAAAGGATTTTGTTCTTTTTGCATATTTTCAAAGTTTAACTGTTCAAGAGCATGTGTACAAGAAGATTTCTCAAAGTTCAAATTTTGAAACCATATTTCTCCTCTGTTTCCTTGTTCTTTGGAAATTTAGGAGCGTTTTTCTCAAAACTGTCTTTTTTTATACGAACCAAGCCTTAACGGCTCTTAGTTTTTAAATATAAACTGAGAACAAATCTGGACTTCTGGCCAAGGAATGTCGTTTGTTCAAAGAGTCTGCTTTTAAAAACATCTCCTTAACGAAGGGAGGAGTCTTTATAATACAATTGTAAATTAATCCGTAAAATGATTTTAACAATTTATGTTATGGATGCAAAAACTTTCATAACACTTACAAAAACTCTTGGCTATTCCTGAACATTGCAAATATATGATAATTTTATCCACATATTTTTTCCATGGGTGGTCCTTCAAATGAAGGTACTTACACCCATTAAATACAATTTCGATTTTGTTTTTTTTTCGCATATTTTCAAAGCTCAACTGTTCAAGAAATTGTGTAGAAGAGAATTTTTACAGTCTAAATTATTTTTGGACATATGGCTTTTTGATACGATAATCTTCCTCTGTATTTTTTCTCTTCAAAAATTTAGAAACGTTTCTCTCGAATTTGTCTTTTTTTAATTTAAATCAAGCTCTTGGTTGAGTACACACTCTATGATTAATATAAAAATGCTGAAAACATTTCTGGACTTCTGTACTTCATATGTTTGGCATTGGATTTGGAATATTTACTTAAGTCAATGGCGCGTTTTGGGTCTGAATTTTTTACTGTGCTCCAACTTGTATGAGTTTTTGGAATTAGGTTCATCTTACTCAACTAATTATAAGAGAAAAACGAATTTAATTCGTATAATTTGCGAAAACGTATTTTTATCTATAAATCCTGAAGATTTATATATGTAGAAAGTATATTTTTGATTGATTTGTAAAAATTCGAAATCGGTGATATCTTATTTCGGTGGCAAATAAAAAAATGTAATAAGAACAACTTTTTGAATTACCAAAATATCTGCAATTGCATTTTTACATCACTTGCTTGAAAAATCTGCTTTTCTTAAACATCTCAGGAGGAGTCTAGACAGGTTGTTTGTTTCTCTGTATTATGATTTTAACGATTTATGCTACGGATGCAAAAATTTTCATAAACTTAAAAAAAACTATATCCAGTTATCACATTGAGACTAATTCTTGGCCCGCCCTGTATAACGCAAACATCTGACAATTCCACCCACTCATTTTTTCCATGGGTGGTCCTTCAAATGAAGGTACTTATTTACACGCGTTACCTACAATTTCAACACAAATTTCCCGATTGCAATGAAGGCTGATATCGGCAACCTTAGTGTTTTTGGGACATCAACTTGTCTTGAGTAAACGGTTTTATCTTACGCACGCAAACTTTCAGTCTTGTTTGCAATGTATGTATATACTGCACATAACTTTCAATTTCATTCGGGGCCATCGATGCTCAAAGACCGGTTCACATTGTGCAATCGGTACACTTCGGCTTCAACACAACAAACAAAAAAACTAATCTTGAGCTGGTGTCCATGATAGTAGTTTCGAATGAACCGCGAACTACACCAAACGCGCGGTATTATGAACGTCGAGACCACTGTCTTTAGTCGGTAAAAAACAATCGACAAATTCAGCCGAATTTTTACCTTCTATCGATTTTGCACATGGCTACTGGTCGAGGTTATTGAAATTTTTGCATTGAACAAAATGGTAAATTTTAATAAAAATATATCCCGAACAACCAATACAATTCAAAGCATCCAACGTTTCGCAATAATCATCCACGAATAAATTTGAGCATTAATTTATGCAAAACATCTCCAACAAATCACCTCAATACGATATCAAAAACACTATAAATTATTACTAATATGTCAATAAATTATTATTAATATATCCTTTACCTTTCAGATAAATTTTCCAGAGATGATGCGCATAGTCGCTGCCTCTTCAATTTTGGCGGTTTTCGTGGAATACCCATTTTTGGAAATTAGAAGGGTCCTTTTCGATAATGTGACTAGAAGAAAAATTGAATTCACGCCGATTATTAAAGAGACAATTCAAAAACGATTAAATGATGAATCTGATAATAAGACAAATATTGTGATAGAAAATATGATTGATTGGAAAATGTTGTTTTGTATTAGTATTGTATTATGTGATTTTAATTGTATACTTGTGTATTGATAATATATTTGTGTTTAAGTATTTTATGTGTTTTTATTAATTATAAGGTAATACGAGAATAAAAATTATATGAAAAAGAAAATATGCATGAATGTTTTACTCACTCCGCATTGGAAGATGTGAAATTTATAAAAGTCTATAAAATTATATGATTGTATTTTTCCCAAATTTACTATTCATTTATATAGTATACGATTATATTAAAAATCACAAATCATCTTATTTTTATCTAAATAAACTTTATTTATCTTAAAAATATTTGGTCGCACTCGATTTATCTCAAAATGCGTCCAATCATCCCGAAACTTTGCAATCCAATTTTGGTGTTTTGCGATATTTAAAATAAGAGTTTTAATTATTTTTTTAATTTCTGCATTATTTTCTTTAAACAACACTGGCGCTCGATTTATCTCAAAATACTCGTACGTCCAAAGATCCAAAACCATTCTTGGTCCAATTTTGGTATTTTGCAATAAATGAATATTTAAAAAAAAAAATTTTAAAAGAGGATTAAACAAAATTAGAGCTAAATTTATCTCAAAATGCGTCCAATAACAAAAAAGCGTTTGAAATCCAATTTCGGTCCAATTTTGGTATTTATCAATAAATGATATTTCAAAAAAAGAGATTTATTCTATATTTTAAATCTCTACATCATTTGGTTTAAACAAAACTAACGCTCGATTTATCTCAAAATGATCCAAAACCAATTTTGGTCCAATTTTGGAACTTTTCAATAAATGGTGTTTAAAATAAGATAACTAATTCTATATTTTAAATCTTTGAAATATTGGGTTTGAACAAGACTAAAAGCGTAAAAAGTTTTGAGCACAAATTAAAATGATTTAGTTCTTTGTCAAATTCTAAAGAAAAGTATAGATATTTATTTGTAACTTTATCAAAAAAAAATTTAAAACCTTCTAAAACTGTTGTAATTGGTGTTCATTTTCAACGAAAAGTCTTAGAATATATTATAACCTAAATCAGTAGCTTCATAATGAACAATTCTTGTATCAAACCATTCGTACAGCAATTTTTTATTATAACAATAATTATTATTATTTTGTTTTTATGTTTGAAAATGCGTAAATGTATCTTTTTTCAAATAATTATGTCAACGTAGTTAAGCAGTTTTTTTAAAGTTTGACATAATTTTATTGATTTTTTTTTTACATTTTTCTATTTTACATTTTTTACGTCAGTTGTATTATTTTAGTAATTACAATTTATTGTACTTACCATTAATTTGATTCAATACAGATTCAACTTCATCCGTAAAAAACACGAATTTCAAACGAATGAATAAAGATCATTAG